TAGTCAAAACTCTCCACTATGACCTATCCATCTTGGGTAGCCCTGCACGGCATAGCTCACAGCTTCTCTGAGTTATTCAAGCCCCTTTGCCACAGGCAAAGTGATCCCTGGAAAAGCCCCTGATGTTGGGAAAGATTGAGGGCACAAGGAGAAGGGGACGACAGAGGACGAGATGGTTGGACAGTGTTCTTGAAGCTACCAGCATGAGTTTGACGGAACTGCAGGAGGCAGTGGAAGACAGGAGTGCCTGGCGTGCTCTGGTCCATGGGGTCACAAAGAATCGGACATGACTAAATGACTAAACAACAACAACATGAACATGTGATGCGGCTTTCATGCATAGGGATGGAAGGATCTGTCTATTTCAGTTCTCTCAATTTCTCATTTTTCCCATCTTGAATTCATTTCTCCATGTTTCTGCAGCAATTTGCAATTTATTTATTTTTAAAAAACGGGTGAAGATTCTTCAGTGAATTTCTTCTAATAGCCACATTCTTGTCTACTGTTTTGGCACAGTCTCCCTTGGGAGGTGGTTGACTCTCCTTCCTTGGAGGTTTTTAAGCAGAGGTTGGGTGGCCATCTGTCACGGATGCTTTAGTTGAGATTCCTGCATTGCAGATAGTTGGACTAGATGACCCTTGGTGTCCCAACTTTACAATTCTATGCTACTATGACCAACATATACTTCTTTTTCGCAAGTAGCTTCTCTTAATAGAATGCCATTTTGTATGTTCTTTTCGCTAATATATTCATTTTTATACACATTTCCCCCTAATATATGCATTTTTGTAAACAATGTTTGGTTGGAGAACAACGGTGCTAAATTTGGATCCTACTCACACAGTGCCTCCTCCTGGCTGACATGGATTGTACATGCGCTGGAGGTGGGTGTGGCCAACACATGCATCAATATCTGAGACCAAGGGTAGCCTGATCATGCGTGGCACCCTCATCAAGTGCTCCCTTCCTTGTTTTTTGTGTTTGGATTCCATTGACTGCTATGTACTGGTGGCTGGAAGCCAATATATAGGCTAGTATATTTGCAAGGGGAAAACCCGTGTTCAAAACACTTCGCGCAGAAGTGTAGTGAAGAAAATATGAAATAATTTCATGTTTTCCACCATGAGCTCCTTTAAGACAAAAAAGATACACAAAGACAGCCTTCATTACAACAACACTTCTACAAAGATGTCATAATACTGGTAACTTGGAAGACAGAAAGCATTTAATTTTTGTAGTGTTGTGCAGTTGAGGCCTACACAGGGACAGAAAAAATCAGAGTGAGGAAATCGCCGGTAATGACGTATGTCCTTTGGAACCCCATGGTAGGCCGGCACCAGAACAGGCTTTCATTTTAAAATTTCTAACACTTCACTCCAGGAAAAATCTCATAAAGTCTGACTAAAGTTTACTTCAAAGACTTGGAAGCAAACTCCAGCTTATGAATTGTTGAAATTCAGCCATCCATGTTCTTTGATGGCTCTACAACAGTTTATGGTGGGAACGGGAAAAGGCCGACAAATTTTATTGGAATTATTGGCACGATATGGAACCGCAATCTCTGTGCAAGCATTCAAGTTAATCCTAGTTATCAGAACAAACCTGAGCACTTTAGTTCTTCTATAAAATCTCGTGGGGGAACTAGTGGCCATTAGCGCTTAGGAACTTGGCTTTGGTTCACACTAATAAAGCCACAACTCTGCAATACCTCAAAGTGTGTTAACAAGAAACTTGCTCCTGGATTATCTATGACAGGATAGCACAACATGCACCAAGTGGGAGTGGTTTTGGCACTTCTTCAATGGTGATATAGTTTAGCCATTCTCAATCTAGGAAAGCGGGTGGTGCATCAAACATATCCAGGTACTGTTGTATGCAAGGCACTGTGGAACCAAGTAAGACACTAGAGTGAAAAATCTGACTTGAACTTCCATGCTCCTTAAGAAATAATAATAAAAGTCTTCTGTTGCAAATACTTCCTAAACGAAAGGAGGAACACCATCATTTTAGGTTAAATAAAACAAATGCAAGCTGTATGAATACTAAGAGCTATTCATGGCTGCTAATACATTAACACAATGCCAATGAAGCACAGCAGTGTGAAGATGAGATCTCTCCATTCTCGGCAGAAAGCTGTGAAGCAGTATATAGCCTGGGCATTGAAAAGGTCCTTGCTGCTCAATTGCTAGATGCCTCTGCCAATGATTTGAGGAAACATTTTTGCACAGGCTAAAAAGGCAACAGAATAAATATGGCCAGATAATGTTTGTGTTGCATTTTAAAACTTCCCTGCCATAACCATATCTATGTAGCACTTACTTTATACAGTGTTTTGCAATATTTATTGTGTCCACTTTCCCAACAGTCATTTGCAACTGCTTACAGATGGAAAAGTCAGACAATTAATACAAGGCCAACAAAATGGATTTACTTTGCTGGTAGCATTTGAACCCAGTTTTCTGGCCCAAAACCAGCTTCAATCACATTACACCAGGGGTCAGCAAACTTTTTCAGCAGGGGACTGGTCCACTGTCCCTCAGACCTTGTGGGTGGCAGGACTATATTTTGGGGAGGAAAAATGAACAAATTCTTATGCCCCACAAATAACCCAGAGATGCATTTTAAACAAAAGGACACATTCTCCTCATGTAAAAACATGCTAATTCCTGGACCGTCCGGGGGCTGGATTTAGAAGGCGATTGGGCCTGATCCGGCCCCTGGGCCTTAGTTTGCCTACCCATGCAGTACACATTATCATTGGTAGCAGTAATAGTAGTAGTAGTAATAATAGTAATAGTAGTAGCAGCAGTAGTAGTAGTAATAGAAGAAGCAGCAGCAGCAGTAGTAATAGTAGTATTTTCACATTGCCCTACCTCTCATGGAAGCCAAAACAAAAATAAAACACAGAGAAATAAAAACATCTATGTTACAGAAATCATCGACATATACAAATACAGATTCAAAACTGCTGCAGATTCAAAACTGCTGCAGTTTTATAACAGTTATGTCCCCAAAGGCTGAGTGAACGAATACATCTTCTGGTGTCATTAGTGTGTGGGACAACTGTACTTCCAACCAGAAGGGAATTTCCAAAACCAGCAGCACTATATGCCCTGTTCTGAAGTACCGCCTAGGTATACAATATTGACTCCAAAGCCATGCCCAAGCTGGAACCAAGCATGAACAGGACACATGTGCAAGATAGAAACTATGGGTGCTTCTCTAGGTACTATTACTGGGTAGGATTCCATCACATACCAGCATATTCAGGTTGTGAAGTCAAAGCTGCTTTGGCACTGCTGCGCCACAACAACACACACACCCTTTGACTTTTTGCTTTAAGAAAAGTGATAAGAAAGCGTGGTAGGAAGTGCGGGATAACACTTGTTTGACACAACATCATATAATCTCCCTGCGAACAAATCATAATGAACACTCAATAAACAGGTTTTCTGTTTATTGTGATCTTCAGATAAAGGGCAGTGAAATATACTCGGAGTCGCGCTCAGTACATAACAGGCAGTATATAAATTTAATAAAGAATAATATTCTAAGAGACTGTCCTGAAAGGAGTTTTCTCTACAAGGGCATCTGCAAAAAGAATTTCATTTTAGGCAATGACTAGAGTGGCAAAGGAGGGGGGAAATGAGGCAGGATTATGGAAGGGGTAGGAATGAGTGATAGAAAAGCAGTGTTTTAACTGACAGCTTGTGCACACCCAGGCAATGCTTCCCAGTTAGGAACATGTGCCATCTAGAAATAAACTCTGTACTGGTGCCATTAGTACCTGGTCCATGTTCACAGCACAGCTGGCTTTATAAGCACAACCATGGCATCCAATGCACCCTCAGATCCTGTAATAGCAAAGTCATTTCTCATTGCCACCCACTAGTGAATTCCCAGCTGAAGGCTTTTCTATACTCAGAACCAGCTCTGCTGGTTGAGGAGGAGGAGGTCATCACAGCAAAAGAGAGCAGTGGCAAATAGCATTCACGCTTTGCATTCCCTTTGCTAAATTCCAAGTGGATTTCCCATTTACTTTAATCTGAGGGAAAATGGATGTCAAATTGCACAGGGAGTCACAGGTAGGCAGTCCTAAGAATAGCAAGAGCTCACATGTAACAAATAACTGCGGCTTCCTACATTATATGCGCACTTCTGCAAATCACTCTCACGACAAAAATGAAATAAAGCGGGAAGGATTTATACCTGTGCTTACCAGAGATTATGTGGGATTACAGAAGCTAACAAAAGTTCTAAACCAAGCTGCACACATTTTCTCAACCATTTCAAAGGTGAAAATGAGGACACTACTCTGTTGCATGAGCATTTAGGACTAAGCCATGGTAGACAATTGTAGTCGTTTAGAATGCTTAGTCCTTAAGATACTGTAAAACCATTTGTTCCATTTATATTATAATTTCTGATGGTCTGAAACTTTGCCTCTCCACTTCCACAGGGCCATTAGCTGGCAGGGGGAATTGGATACTTTTGTAGTAAGTTGGGGAAAACTCTAAGGTTTTTCAAGGGCACGGGCTTACCATGTTCCACAAGGCAGCAGAAGCTTTCACAGTCTCTCTCTTTTACTCAAAAAAATGTTTTGCCACCACATGGTGTTGGAACCACAATAAGCAGCAGACCAGCAGCTGTCCTCATTGGTATCAAAATGGCCCCATGGAAACAGGACTAAGTCATAGGATGGCATTGTTTCCAGTGGCACTGTTAGTAAAAAATATTTTTATATGCATAATTGCTTTATCTATGTTTCACTGATGTTTTCTTTGTTAAATCACTTCAAGATGTTTTATATGGCATGATTCATAAATGGAACAAACAAACAGATGCATTAAAAAGGTGTCTGCCCCCCAGCACTACTTGTCCCCCTAAGAAGACCATTTTTATGCCATTCACCTGCATCAAATGAGCCAAAGGTAGAATCATAGAATTGTAGTGTTGGAAATAACACCGGGGGTCATCTAATCCAACTCCCTGAAATGTAGGAATCCTGGGTGGGCTTGAACCACCAACCTTCTGGTTAGCAGCCAAATGCACTGACCCATTGTTCCTTACTTATTATAGAATAAATGAATTTAGGCTTCCTGTCAAGCAACAGACAAAATATGAGCAGAAAAATTGAGTTAACTTATGGAGAGAGTCTTCCACTCACAAGATTCCTTCCATTTGTGAAAGTTTCTTTCATTAATGGAGGCTACTTCCATTAATAAAAGGCAACCTTTGGGACCAGCCCAATATGGTTAGATATGACGCTTCAGATATTAAAGCTCATTATTTTTTCTCTTCACCTCACTGAGATTTGCAACATTTTCCTTTTTGTAGTATTGCTATATAAAATTCTCCTTGCCCTGTTCAGTTTCTATATTCTCAAGTGTTTTTCTTGCCCCCAAGAGAAATGAAATGTATGTTTGTATGCTTGTATATTCGTAATATGTGTGTATTAATGCTGAATTATTTTAACAATAAAAACTTTTCAAATTCAAAAAAAAAGAGAATACATATATAAAGTTACTTAAGCCAAGACCAGTTGCATTGAAACTACTTGTGGTGAGATAAAACAGATTTCTTTTTCTGTTAAGGTATTTTTAAAGGTGGAGTAATTTGTATATGCATCTATAAAATGTGTCATCACTCTGCATTTGTCAGCCTATATTTTATTTCTATGTACTCTTACTGTTAGCGTGAATGATTAACTCAATAAATCCCTGTTTTTCACATGTTGCTTGTGAAAGTTTGTTTCAAGGAACACATTTTTAAAATATATTCTAATTATGGTTTTGATGTAATAAACTTGCTTAAAGAATTTACCTGGGCTATCTCATGATTCTGTTAAGACGGCCAATGCTTGTTTATGGGAACACTCAGTGCTTGATGTTCAAAGATCCTAAACACATGATCAGGAATGCATGTGAGAAGTCCACATCCTTGTGTGTAAACATCACACTTCCAAACACTGAAGGGAAGGGAGCCTAAAAGTCAGTTCAATTCACAGGGGTGCAAAGTTTTCATAAACCCTTTCCAACCATCCATGGATCCTGCAAAAATGGTCTGATAATCCTGTGGAAAACTATCATGTGACTCAATATTTCAAGGTAATGACTCCTACAGAGGTTTCCAAGAACAGAGTGCCACTTCTTAAAAGCCTACTGTGATCACAGTTTTTTGAATCCTCTAACTCTCTGAAACCATCTTCCATGATGTTATGATTATAATGGGAACAACAGGAAGCTTAGACAGCTTTCCAAAAGTACAAAGGGGATAGCGTTCAATAAACAAAAACAATATATTTACCTGGGTCTTCTATAGACAAATTCTTTGTTAACCACTGAACGATGTCAGAACCTAGAAAAAAATGTGAAAAATAATTAAAATGCAGCTGCTATATTTTAAACATGTATGACATTCTAGAAGAGAAAAGTTTCCCCAAGAGTGCCCATTTTTATTAAGCTGCCTAAATCTGCAACAATCTGCACTTTCCTTGGAGTAAGCTCCATGGAATACAAAATGAAAAATGTAGAACTGGACATAGTCTGTTTCCCATTGTCAAAGAAATATTTATCATGGACACTGTGGTCACAATGAGGCCCTCGCACCACAATGGTGTTATTGCACGCATGTTGATGTGGGCTTTCACTTTAATTATTCAATACCTGCTTATTTAATTTGGACTTTCACAGTCTACCGTGTTTTTAATATTCTGTGGGGAACCGCCCAGAGTGGCTGGGGAGGCTCAACCAGATGGGCAGGGTATAAGTAATAAATTATGTTGTTGTTGTTGTTGTTGTTGCTGCTGCTGCTGCTGTGCACAGGTCCTACATTCTGGCAGTAGATTTGATAGCAGCTCGCATTGGGTTTCCCTATATTGTCAAGGTATTATGCTCAAGTACTGTATGTACATAGAATAAAATAGGCCCTGCAAAGCTATGGCTTCCAGGAGAGCATCCCTGGGAGTGTCAGATGCATCAGATCTCTCTCATCAAGGAGAGCTTGCATAGTTTAATCCCTTTGCTTTCCCTCTCATTGTTTCCAATAATTTGGAAATTGTTTAAATAAAAAACTAAAAAATTGCAAACTGGTGTGGAAATGGGGAACTGAACTTAAGACTGGAAAAATGAGAAAGAGAAAAACTTAAATTGACAGATTTGCCTTTGCCTACAAAAACCGTCCCTGTGCTGCAGACACCGTTAGTTTGTTCTGCATCCCATAAAAAAGCAATGTAGCATTTTATTCCACATTCCTGATTGATTGATTTGTTACAAGCATGTAAAAACAGCTTAAAATCCAAAAATCTCAATTATGTTCCTATCTAGCTATTGAACTTTGCTCATGGATTTTCCTGTTGTGCATTGTCTTTACCTCTGAGGCCTGCTATGTGTTTCTTGCACTCTTGTGTCCCATCTACACTGTACATTTTAAGCACACGGCTTCTCCCGAAGAATCCTGGAAACCGTAGTTTGCTAAGGAATTGTAGCTCTTTGAAGGGCAAGCTCCTGTTGCCATGATTGCTTGGGAGAAGCCACACACTTTAAATGTATGGGGTGGGTGGTGTAGAGAGAGCAACTTTTTGCATGGGTCCTGAAGTTTTCTCAGTCATTGCTCGATTTGATATCCCCTCCATGCAATGTTTCTCAGCTCCTGCACATACATTAGCAAGTTATATAATTGGGGGGGGGGGTAATTCATGAACTAAATGTACAGCAAAACTTTGGCTAAGCAAAAATTATCTTCTAATTGCAAATTCCAATTAGAACTTCAGTTGCATAACCCTGTGTTGTGAATAAGGAATACAGGCAATACCAAAGATGGTTATTAAGTCGCCACAAACTTGTCCACCCACTTCACAGCAGAGGTGACACCACCTTCCCCTTAAAGGCATAACACACACACACACACACAAGACATCTCCTTTATGCTGAGTATTTTTGGGCTTGTCATTTCTGTGGTGGCCACAGAATCAAGTTTCTGATGTACTTTTCAGGCGATGTATTACACAATGGAAAGATGTTAGAAAGGTACATGTTAGAAAATTACTAAGTCAGCTTCAGGGGCCACTTTTCCCACAAAGTAGTTACTCAAATCAAAACATTTCAGATATGAACCAAGGGAGAGAATATTTTGGTCAAAGCTGTTGGCGAGTCAAATTAAAGTACACAGATCAGTTAATCTGCTGTTCATTTAAAGCAGTGACTTCAGAAGAGCTAAAGAAATTCAAGTACTCCAGCTTAACATCAGGAATTCAACATTTCCAATTTTCAGCTTTAGCCAGAGGTACAATGCCGACTTCACAAAGTGCATTACAGTATCTTATGTTTCATATTTTATTACTGTTGTTTCATAAAATTTATGCACTGCTTAGTTCGTAAAAGCAGTTTACAAAAATAATAAAACAATTTAAAATTGCTAAAAAAACTTAAAACAATTATTTAAAACATTAAAAAAAATCAGTGATAAACTAAGACAGTTTAAAAACTCATCAGCGTTATGCATGTCTGGTTATCTGTGGATTTAACAGTATATTGTATGGCAGTTGCCTATATATGAGGCATGTTTTTAGTCACAATTTCACTTGACTTTTTTAAAAATACAGACATCATGGGAAAAACAAGCCTCATCTTTCTTGGTGTTGCTATTATAGATGATTATGATCAGCAAATCTGTTCCACCAAACTATTCCACTAAGCTTATACTGTATTTTACGACATTAATGCACATCTACATAGAACTAAAATGATTATGCAAAATTATCTAGCAAGACAAGATTCCTAAATTATATAGGTCTTACAGTTATCCCTCATGCAGAGAAAATATTTATTCTTGCACCATCAGTACACCCTTTCATTACAGTTACCGTAAATGTCAATAATAAAAAATCAGCTTTAATTTATGTCATTGCAAATCAAGAGTTACCTAGCAGTCAAGGAAATTGGCACACCACAAACACATCTATTTTTTAAAAAATGTAATCATAGAATCACAGAATTGTATAGATGTGAGGATCCTAATGCTGTGTATAGAATATAAATATACTTTTCACTTGGAGCATTTGAAAAGCCAAAAGAATTCCACCTTGGGATTCAACGGGGCTTTTATAAGTGTTTCAGGCACCTTCACAGAAACAAAATATGTCCCTCCTCCGGGATCAGTCAGAGATATGTCAGTGTAAGTCCTCCATCCCAGCTCAGCCAACTTATGAGCTCAGGCCAGGGTAAGTCCTGAAACGGGTGGGGGCAGCATGGGGCAGCAGCAGAACCAGTGCTATTCCAAACTCTGTTCAGCCCAGTCAAAGACCTAGCAACCCAGCAGAAATTACACAGGCAAAAAGGGGTGGTGTAAGACAAACTACGGTATATTTTAAAGCTTAATTTCCCTCTGCCAGGCTGAGGCCAGCTCAGGCAGCTGTAGCCCAGCTCCAAAGCACAGTTTGGGGTAGGGTGAGTTACACCAATATAATCTACCCCCATCATAAATTAGACGGACTTCCTTGCCTGTGCTGCCCCAATGAACCTCTACCAGGTCCCCCTACTGTTGGCTTAAATCCCAGTGGGTGCCAGCCACCACTGCCTAGTCTCAGCAAGTTTCTTTCTCTTCCCTTTTCCACAAATTGATTTCACTGCATTCTAGCTGTACTATGTGTATTAGCACATGTTCTTAGAACTGATAGCTTGTATGATGATGATTATTATTGCAAATTCTTCTAAAACTAGGCTATTTTGTTAGTGTATTGTTTATACAAACATGTGCCAATTAATTCTATGGAGACCTATTTTTAATAAGTGTCAATTCCCTTTGGATGCAACAGAATTATTTGAATTTTATTTTATTTTCCTTGACCACATTAATCCACGTGCACCTAGATCCAGTGGCATGTGAGCAGCTGCTCCCACAGGACCCGACAAGGGAGTTCTGGGTGTTGGGATCCTACCTGAGCAGGTGGGGGGACGTAATCCCCTCTCCACCTATCAGGTGCTTGATTGGCCAGTGGCAGGCAGGCTTGGATGCAGGGCTGGCTTTGGGGGCAGGAATGATGAAGCAGACAGGCTTCCCTCAGGTCTG